AAACAACATATAGACATAGTTTGTTTACAAGAGGTACACATCAAAGAACAGCACAGGAAATATTTGGAGTTCCCCAAATTAGGAGTATTATATACAGCACTAGCAGAACAAAAACGGAGAGGATTAGCAGTTTATATTAGAAAAGAAATTAATGCTAAATTGAAGTACCAAGATACAGATGGAAGAATATTAGCAATAGAATTACAAACCGAACAGAAATTATGGCTGCTAGTGGTAATATATGCACCAAATGAGAATCAAAAAGAATTTTATTACAAATTACATGAGAAACTTATAGCAATTGGACAGGGAAATATTTGTATAGTAGTAGATTATAATGCAGTAGTGGATGTAAAAAAAGACTATATTAGTGATATGAAAAAGAAAAGAAAAACACTACCAAGGACATTCTTTGATTTGGTACATGAATTTAATTTATATGATCAGTGGAAGAAGCGGAATAAAAAAAAAGAATATACATTTTTGTCGAACCCTCATAAATCTTGGTCTCGAATAGACATGGCATGGATGAATGAAGAAGTAGGGCAAGACATAGAGACAATAGAAATAATGCCAAATATATGGGCCGATCATAACCCTCTGAAAATAGTTTGGAAAGGGCAGAAAAAAGTAAGAAGATGGATAATGAACTCTCACATTTTGAAAGAAAAAGAATTTATAGTAAGGATTAGAAGATAAATGAAATTCTTTTTTAAAGAGAATACAAAACAACAATCATCAGTACAAATTATTAGGGATACCACGAAAGCATATTTAAGGGGCTTAGCAATAGTCTATATAGCAAGAAAAAATAAAGTGAAAAGGCAAACACAAAATATACTCCAGGAAGAGATTAAAAAATTGGAATCTAAATTACAAAAAGAGCCCCAGGATGAATCGATTAAAATGAAAATGGTTTGGACTAAACATAAATTAAACATGATAGATCAAGAGGAAAGAGAAAAAGAATTGAAAATAGTAAAAAAAATTTTTTTTGAACACGCAAATAAACCTGGGAGATGGCTCTCTTATAAATTAAAAAAAGAAAAAGAGAAAAGATTTATTCAGGAACTACACAATAAAAATGGAGAGTCACAATACAAAATGGATAAAAAGAAAGAAAGAATTCAGAACTATTTTGAGTTCTGAATATAAAAAAGAAGAAATAGATGTGGAGAGTATAAAACAATACTTAAAAGCTAATGGCTTGCCAGAATTAAAAGAAGGACAGAGAAAAATATTGAATGGGAAAATAACAGCCTTGGAATTAAAAACTGCAGTGCAAAAACAAAAAAAATAATAAAACCCCGGGGCCAGATGGCCTTCCAGGGGAAGTATACAAGACTCTTTATGAGGACTTTGAAAAAGATACTATTGGATGTGTATAATGATGTGTTGGAGAAAGCCAAATTACCAGACTCCTGGATAGAAGCCACCATATCCCTTATCCCAAAAGAAGGCACAGACCCCAAACAGATCAAAAATTATAGGCCAATCTCATTGTTGAACACTGATTATAAAATTTTTACTACCATAATTACAGAAAGATTGAAACTAATATTACAGGATATAATACACCCAGATCAAAATGTTTTTTTACCCACAAGACAAATTAGGAATAATACGAGAACGGTGTTAAATGTCTTAGAATATTACGAAGCACACCCAGGAAAACAGGTAGCACTAATTTTTTTAGATGCTCAGAAAGCATTTGATAATCTCAGTTTGCAATTTATGTTCCAACAGATTGAGAACATGAAATTTGGAGGGAAATTTGAGAACATGATAAAAGCAATATATAAAACACAAAAGGCCAGCATGATAATCAATGGAGATAATACAAAAACTTTGAAATAAATAAAGGAGTAAGACAGGGATATCCAATGTCACCTCTACTTTTTATTTTGACTTTAGAAATGCTATTAACTCAAATTAGAACTAATAAAGAGATAAAAGGGATACAGGTTAAGACAGAAGAATATAAGACACAGGCATTTGCAGACTATTTGGTCTGTTTTATTGAGGAACCACTAGAGAGAGGAAATATTTTGATGAATGAAATAGAAAAATACGGAACAGTGGCAGGATTAAAAATTAATAGAGAAAAGACCAAAATGTTAGTTAAAAACCTAACCGAAAAACAGAAAAGGAAATTAGAAGAGAATCTGGAATTGCAAATTGTAAAAAAGATTAAATATCTAGGAATCTGGCTTCCCACAAAGTGTTCCTCAATAAAAGAGGATAACTATAAAAAATTGATATTACAAATGAAAAAAGATTTTGAGACCTGGGGGAAATTACAATTATCATTATTAGGTAGGGTGGTGTCAATTAAAATGAATATATTACCAAGACTATTATATTTATTCCAAACAGTCCCAATAAAATTAGAGAAATGTTTTTTGAAGAATTGGACAAAATAATAAACAAATTTATTTGGTCGGGCAAAAAAGCAGGGATAAGCATGAAAATGTTACAAGATATTAGAAGTAGAGGTGGTCTTGGGCTCCCAAAATGGGAAATTTACTATCAAGCAGCTGGACTACCCTGGATCAAGGATTGGATAAACCTAGACAATAAAAGGGTTTTAATGATTGAAGGGCTTGACCTACAGGCTGGCTGGCATGCCTTTTTATGGAGAAAACATAAGAAAACACACACATATTTTTATCAACATCAGATAAGAGGTGCGCTGATTCGGACGTGGGAAAAAGTAAAAAAAAGACACTATAGGAAAATCCCAAATTGGATTTCACCGATGATGATCGACTCTAATACCTTGGATAAAAAAAAGATAATTAGATATAATGAACTATTAAATAACCAAGGAAACCTCAAATCAAGAGAAGAATTAGAAGAACAAGGAATAAGCATAGATTGGTGGCCATACTTACATATCCAATCTAAACATAGTAAAGATATGGAAGAGCACAAAATAAGCCAGACCCCACATCAACTAGATAAAATTTTAACAGATAAGGAAGGAAAATTTTTAACAAAAACTTATAAATATTTATTAGAGGTAGATTTGGCGGAAGAAATAGTGAAAGGGCCAATGATAGCACGGGCACGAAATGTGGGGGGAAATATAAAACTGGAAGAATAGGAAAGATTATGGAACAGAAATTGTAAACTGACATTGTCAACTGCATATAGAGAAAATCAATACAAAATGGTCTATAGATGGCATTTAATACCGGCGAGATTGGCTAAAATGTACAAAAATATGAATCCGGAATGTTGGAAATAAATAAATAAATAAAAATAAGGAGGGAACATTCTATCATATGTGGTGGTTGTGCCCTAAAGCAAAGACCTATTGGGAACGGAAAGGAACTGGATACAGGAGATAACTAAGGTGCAAATTGAACTCAAACCTGAACTATTTCTTTTGGATATAATAAATTTAAAGATGGAAAAACAACTCCAAAACATCATTATACATATATTAACAGCAGCCTGCATAGTATATGCCCAGTGTTGGAAGGGTGAAAACATACCTACAAATGATATGATTATATACAAAATTCTAGAATGCGCAGAAATGAGCAAAGTTACGCAAGAATTAAAAGACAAGGAGGCAACAGAATTTTATGAAATATGGAACAAATATTATGATTGGCTAGAACAGAGGAAGAAAAAGACATGATTACTAATGTAAATAAACTGTAAATAATATATAAGAGATGTATAACACAGTTCTGTTAAGAAAAAATGTATTTTTCATTTTTATTTTTGTTGTATAGTGAAAAAGGAATAAATAAAATTTTTTAAAAAGAACTATTGACCATTAAGGCCTCCAGATCTCCATTTTTGAAATTCAGCAACAATATGATCAATTTTTAGCTGTGAAATTTTGAAGGGTTTTTTTTTAATTAAAAAGAAAAGCCGCAATGAAAGCAGGAAGGTTCATACTAGCATACCACTGTCATTTCCACTCTCAAATCCCCAGCCCTCCTGTTAAATTTGGGAAAGAATAATTCTGATGATTCTCTGGAAGGAACATATGTTCAGATGACACAGTTACCTCAGGAACCCTTCTATTTCTGGAAAGCACTGGGAATCACCCAAAGCCACAAAGGGTGTGCTTGGCTATTTCTGTACTTCTTTATCTTATCTACTGGGTGCCAGCTTTTCTTATGGGGAAATGTTATAGCCAATAAAAGTATAAATATGTGTCTCGCTCTCCATTTGTGGTTCCCTCTTGCTTTAAAGGGCCTGTCTTTATTCAGCTAAATAAAAGCGCATTAAAGCAAACATCAGGACACTATCTTTATTGTACCAAGCCACACCTGAAAACCAGCAGAACATTTAATGGGAAAGTATTTTTGAACCAAGAAAGCTGGAGATACCTCAAAAACTTACATGGCAAAGTTGATGGAGATCTATATTGAAGCAATCCAGATGCCTGCTAAGGAATTCCAACTTGGACCTCAGCTCCTGGATAACCTGGGACAGCATATCCCTGGCCTGGATAACCTGGGCCTGGATAATCTGAAGGTGGTTCTGTAGGTGGTTTAGCTAGAAGAACAAGAAACATTTAAGCTAACGGATGGATGAAATGCTTAATGTCAGTCTACTGCCATAGTAATCATAACCTTATTTTTTATTTGTTATTTTTCCTATATGTGATAAAGCAAGTGAGTTTAATTCCAGCAAAGCTATTCTTAACAGATATATGTATTTCCGTTTTCTACATGGGAAAAAAAAAAACTTATAGCTAATAAGATAATAAGAAAAAAAACTTCTGTAAAATCATATCTAATTAAGATTTCTCTATAAAACCACATTTGTCATGACACAGCATATTAGCATATTACACGTGCTAACTTTGTTTTGCACACGCTACTATACAGCTGTTGCACACGGCACTAACAAACACCAAAACAACATTCCCTTGCACCGCACGGCACAAACTTGTTTTTTCACTTTTGACTTCCTCATACCTTGGCCTACTGCAACTGATGACTCAGCCTAACAGGCCAGATAACCCAATGACTCCAACATCTCCTACTTTTCTGTTTTATTTAAAAAATAAGGAGGTTGCGCTTTATAGGAAGTCATCCTCAGTGTCGCTTGGCAAAGTGAAGGCTGGTTTAGTTAGCAAGGGTTGCTGAACTGCAGTGATAGGTGTAGTTACTAAATTGACCTGTTGGTGGGTGACAGTTCCTGAGGAAAAATTTTTAAACATCATAAACAAAGAAGGCAAACATTGAATACAACAACATATCAGAACTAAAATAACTACAATAGTTATAATACCAGAAACTAAAGATCGCAGCCAGGTTCCGTCAGGTAACCAAGACCATAGGGCATCCCAAATGTTTATTGCGCCAGATCCGTCAGATTGTAATGGATCATGACGAACCATGTCTTCCATATGCTCAATGGTACCTGTGATATTGGCTTTGTAATCAGAGATATAAACACAACAATGAGAATGGATTAAGGCACATACTCCTCCTTTCGAGGCAAGGATAATGTCTAAAGCATAACGGTTTTGTAGAACAATCTCTCGTATTTCTGCCACTTCCTTGTTTAACAATTTGGTAGTCTGAATGGTAGCGTTGAACATGTGCATAGTCCAGTTATTTAATGCATAGATGTCTCTGTAATTCATGGCTACCCCCATAGATGGAAATATAGATCGTGCAATTTGCGTTCCTGTACTGCCAGGTCCTCCCAGGCCATTTTCTAGATCTCTTCGATTGCGCAAACGGCCTGAAGGTGGCTGATCTGAAACAAAAACTGAGGGAGCAAGAAAGCCCAATGTACAACGGCCAGACCACCGTGGGGGTATACGTTGATATGCCCGCCGGCCACAAAGCATCCATACATTACTTAATATATTTGTAGTCGTGTTGGAGCTTTGCACAGTTTGGCGAGCCATGGCTCTTACAATACTGCAAAGGAAGAGTGTGGACATCGTGTCTGTGTTGCCGGGGTAACATCCTGTTGATAGCGAGCATCCAGTTATTTGATAGGTACACATATAATCAGAAAAGTCATCGAGGGGTTCAAAAAGAGGAATTTTCTTAAATGGATGTGGTCTAGTCATGTTGTTTGAAAGTTGAAATGTGATGTTACAATATGGGTATCTGCCTACTAAAACAGAGTTTTTAGCAGTGTTCTTATATTCCCAACAAAACGCTGCTTTTTCCTGGATTCTGCTTCCTATTGTATATACCGTATAATTCACCATAGCATTGGAAAGAGTCCCTCTAGACCAAGGAAATTGTTTCCAACCAGTTGTATTAAAAGGCACCGCATGCATAAAAAGTCCCCCCTCCTCCAGGGTTGGAATATGCATGCACATCCAACACTCAGTCTTGTTCAAAAGGCGAGAAATATTCTGCACATCTTTCATAAAAGAGTTATGGGCCCAGGGTCCATGGTCATCTGATGTCTGGTTAGGATGGTGGAGATTGAACCAAATAAGGACGAACACAGCGAGCTGGAGTCCAAATGATTTTGCCATGATCATCTACTGCAGCGTAGCCTCTCCCCCAGGTGATAAGCTCTGCAGGACCTTTCCACGTGGGGTCTGGAAGCCGTCGATAGTAGACTGGAGGTCTTGAAGTAGGGGGAGGGACTGTTGAAAAATGACGAGAGGCAGCTGTTGATGGTGGATCGCCCGTCAGATTTAAAAAGTTCAGTGTATAAAGGCACAAGTTAAGGATGTTTTGCACTGCTGGGAGGCCAGGGGCGATTTTCCCCTTTTCATTTAAATATCGATTGAGAGCTGTTTTTAATGTTTGATTTGCTCGCTCAACCAAGGCTTGACCTTGGCTATTATACGGAATGCCAAATTTATGAACAATGGACCATTTTGTACAGAATTCTGCAAAAGCAGAGCTAATATAAGCAGGTCCGTTGTCTGACTTAAGTTCTTTGGGGCGTCCTAACAGTGCAAATGACCGAATACAGTGATTGATAACATGTTTAGTGGCCTCACCCCTCTGGGGGGAAGCCATAATAAAGCCAGAATATGTATCAATAGAAACATGAAGATGTTTCCAAGGGGCAAAGGGAGGATATTGAGTAATATCCATTTGCCAAATTTGACAGCTCTCCAAACCACGAGGATTTACTCCTAGTGGTATTGAGTGTGCTTGCTTGCTACAGGTTGGACATTGCTGAACGATGGCAGTAGCTTCAGCAGCTGAAAGATTAAATTGTTTGATTAATGCTTTCTTATTCTGATGGAAATAGGAGTGACTTTCCCAAGGGGTTAAAAAAGTGAGTGGCATATTAAGAGGTGTTTGTGAGGCGGCAGCATCGGCAACATCATTGCCTTCTTGGAGTGGACCTGGAAAAGGCTGATGGCTACGAATATGGGCAACAAAAAATGGGTGTTTCCGATCGTTTATGAGATGTTGCAAGTCCAAAAATAATGTTAACAGATCCATGGAGACATTTGGTGCTAAATAAGAATCAAAAATGGTTTTGACAATTTGGGTAACATATAAACTGTCCAGGATCAAATTAAAGGGTTGATCTTTAAAATGAAAAAATGCCATTGTGGCTGCCACTAACTCAGAGCGCTGAGCTGACGTCTGTGGGGGGGTGATTTTTGTACACCACTTACCCTCCTCTTTCCAAGCACAGGCTCCATGAGTCTTGCTGCCGTCTGCAAACATCGTTATTGCTTCTTTTAAAGGGAAAGAAACATAAGGAGATTGCCATTTAAATGGGACTGTTTTTAATAAAAAAATGCGAGGATCTGATGGTGGATGACAAGACACTTCTCCTGGCCAATCAGCAAGTGCTTGCTGCAAAGATTCATAATTGGCCAACAAACTTTCCCAAGCCGTTAGCGAACAAGGGATATATAAAAAGGATGGTTCAACACCCCCTAAAGCCTTTGCCCTAAAGCGAGATTTTGTTATAAGCTGAGCAAAGAGCGTATGTTTCTGTGAAATGGTGTTCTTTGGGGTGTGAGATAAGTGGATCCATTCTACAATCATCATTTTTTTGTTAGACACGATCTGAGCCAAAGCTGCTGTAGGAAGGTCAACAGTGTTGAAAATTAGCATAGAAAAAGGCATATTGGGCTGAACACGATCGACCCATACTTTTGACAATGCATGTTGAATGATGTCACAAGTTTTAAGTTGTTGTTGAGTTAACACGATCTTATCTCCTGGATTTTTTCCCTGCGTAAGAGCAGAGAACAATGGAGCCAATTGAGAGGTGGTTAGTCCCATGTAGGGACGGGCCCAATTAATTGATCCTAAATATTGTTGAAGTTGGACTAAGGTTGGGCATGGTGGAAGACACAACTTAGACAGCTGAGGCTCGGCGTGTGAGGCTAAAAGCTTGTGGCCCAAGTACAGAAAGGGGTGTTTAAGCTGAATTTTTTCAGGTGAAATAAAAAACCCATTTGTTTGAAAAATGGAGGTTAGAACAGGCAAGGTTGCTGATACTGTACCTGAGGGCCCTGGAGCTGCCACTAGAATATCATCCATATAATGGTAAATTTTAAAATGAGGAAACTTGTCCCGATATGGTCTTAAAACCTGATTGACAACATATTGACATATTGTAGGACTGTTTAGCATTCCTTGAGGCAAGACAGTCCATTGATATCTGGCTGTGGGCTTGGAGTTATTCATTTCAGGCACAGTAAAAGCAAATAGGTGTTTGTCCTCTGGGTGTAGTGGAATAGAAAAAAATGCATCTTTTAAATCTATAACCATAAGGTCATAGTCTTTTGGTATCAAATTAGGATTAGGTAAACCGCATTGGAGCGCTCCCATGGGGCGAATGATCTTATTGATAACCCGGAGATCACTTAAAATTCTCCATTTTCCAGATTTTTTCTTTATGACAAACACTGGAGTGTTATAAGGACTCAATGAGGGTTCAATGTGTTTTAACTCTAATTGTTGATCTACCAATTGCACCAGAGCGGCTAATTTTTCTTTGGTTAAAGGCCACTGATCCACCCAAACTGGGGTGTCAGTCAAGAGGTTTAACTTTATTGAGACATCTTAATCCAAAATTAATTTTGCATTGAACTGACTCATCAAATCCTGACCCCACAGATTAGTATGAAGTGGAAGAATGACAGGTTTAATGTGGGCAGTGACTGATGTTTCTTCTGAGGTCACAGAAAGCCAGTGTTTGCTCACACGTGCGTGTTGGACTCATCCCACTCCCCGAACCGACGGTGCGCTGTCGGTCTGCCACTCAGAGGGCCACTCCTCCTCTCTTATGACCGATACATCAGCTCCGGTATCTAGAATACCAAAAAAGGAGCGTCCATTGACTTGAAAGGCCATAGAGGGGCGGAACTTTTGAATTTCTTGCTCAATGGCCAAAACTTGTGGTTGTTGGGGCACAGGGACGGCAGTTGCCACTACTGTTCCCTCAAAAACAGTCATGGGAGTGTTAGGGGTAAATGCCAAAGCGACTGATGTAAAGTCAGCTGGGTCTTTCAAAAATGGCATAGCCATTACTCCCTGCATAATAAAGTCACGGTGAGGAAACACTAACAGAGGGGTGTCACAATCAGGGGGAAAAGGGACAGCCGGCTGGATTGGCAAAAAATATGACAGCCCAGATAAACCTGTGGTTATTGTCTCAGAGGCCACCAGGACAAAATGATAAGGTTCAGCCTTTGAGGCGGGGCTAGCTGAATGCCCCAGCTCTAGTTTCCCGGTTCCTGGGAATCAGCGGGCATGGGGTTGGAGCGACACTGGTTTGCCCAGTGAAACCCCTTTTTACAGCGCGGGCAGACAGTTTTTGGTCTGGCTCCTACTCCCCTGCTTTTATTTGCACCCCCTCCTGGGGCCCGGCACTGATTTTTAAAATGACCAGGCTTCCCACAATTAAAACAGTTACCAGCTTTACCCTCAGTTTGCCCATTACTTCCTGCTTTTTGTAAGGCCATAGCCAAAGTTTCCATGTTAAATGCATTGGTCCCCACAATTCTACAGGCTTGAATATATTCTGCCAATCCTGCATCAGGTTTGCTCATTAAGGGCTGCAGGATTCGTTTGCAGTCCTCATTGGCATTTTCAAAGGCAAGTTTCTTCAACAATTCCTCGCAGGCTATATCATTTGTGATTTCCCTAGAAATGGCCTTTTGTAACTGATCCACAAATTCCCCATAAGACTGATTAGGCCCTTGAAAAATCTTTACAAAAGAGCCTTTTGTTCCCCTTTGTGGGTCATCTACTCTAGTTAAAGCAGCTTTAGCAGCTAGAGCTGAATGGGAATAGAACAAAGGGTTCATTGCTTGTTGATTCCCCAGGTAAGTGTAATTCCCACTTCCAGTTAACTGGTCTACAGTGGGTGCATTACGGCCAGGCCAAGCTGAAACGATCTTTTGACATTCCTTTTTCCATTCTGATTCCCAAACCACATATTGAGAAGATGTTAAAATCATATTGAATAGCCCTTTCCAATCTTCAGGCAACAAAAAAAAACTAATAGCCATGTGACCTATCAGACCCAAGGTATAATGGCTAGAAATCCCATAATTTGATGCAGCTTGCTTAATTTCCTTAATATTTTTTATAGGAATTGTTTCATATCTGCGATTGCCTGTGATGGGATCAATAAAAACAGGCGCACAAAATTGATATTCTTCAGGTTGCAGTTCCCCTTTTTTATAAGCTTCGGCCAGTGCCCTGGAGATGGCGCTGGCCGGGGAAGGTAGCACGTTGGGGTTTCTTTGTTCTTTTCCTCCTTCCTGTTTTGGCGCGGAAGGTTCAAAAGACACCTCGGCTTGATAAACTGCCAAAGAGGATTTTTCTTCTTCACTCTGTCCCTTTTTTAACTCATTGGGCTTTTCAGAGTCATAAACTGCCAAGGAGGATTTTTCTTCTGCACTCTGTCCCTTTTTTAACTCACTGGGCTTTTCAGAGTCATAGGCAGGCGGGGAGTCTACAGGCTTTTCAGAGTTATAGGCAGGAGGGGGGTCTACCCTCCCCTTCTCTGTTTTCATGGCATCTTCATGGATTTGGAGACATTCAATTACAATTCGCCATGTAGACAAAATTTTTGCAGGGGCACGAGGGGATTCATGAAAATACTTTCCTAATTTAACCCACACAGACATTTTTAGGGATCCTCCTTCGGGATATGCAGGGCAATTTTGATATACATATTTTAAGAGGAGGATCAAATCCCTTTTAGTGGGAAGCGGCAAATTTTTCCCATTGTTTTTCAAAATAATTATTGATGACTTGGTCAATTCCCTAAGTTCTGAGAGGTGCGCAACCTGAGGCTTAGAGAATGTTGTCCCCATACTCACGGTAATGTTTTGGGAGGGTGCTTCGTCTAGCTCTGACGACCGGCCCTGAGTTGCAGTAAGCTCTTCCGCTGAGTGAGTAAGAGGAGACGTGCTCAAAAACTTGAATCACGTCGGGGTCACCATTTGCGGGTTTTCACGCGCCCAGCGGTCTCCCATGGGTGTTGAAGAACAGACACTTACACGTGGTTTCCTCGGGATGAGAGCCTCAAACAAAGCCGAAGCATCCCTTTTATTGTGTTATCAGAAGGCGGGTTTATAGGCACCTGGTGACCACCTTACACCAACCACATTTGTCATGACACAGCATATTAGCATATTACACGTGCTAACTTTGTTTTGCACATGCTACTATACAGCTGTTGCACACGGCACTAACAAACACCAAAACAACATTCCCTTGCACCGCACGGCACAAACTTGTTTTTTCACTTTTGACTTCCTCATACCTTGGCCTACTGCAACTGATGACTCAGCCTAACAGGCCAGATAACCCAATGACTCCAACAGGCCTGGATAATCTGAAGGTGGTTCTGTAGGTGGTTTAGCTAGAAGAACAAGAAACATTTAAGCTAAGGGATGGATGAAATGCTTAATGTCAGTCTACTGCCATAGTAATCATAACCTTATTTTTTATTTGTTATTTTTCCTATATGTGATAAAGCAAGTGAGTTTAATTCCAGCAAAGCTATTCTTAACAGATATATGTATTTCCGTTTTCTACATGGGAAAAAAAAAACTTATAGCTAATAAGATAATAAGAAAAAAAACTTCTGTAAAATCATATCTAATTAAGATTTCTCTATAAAACCCTCTGGTATAATCTAATATCTTCCAAAACAATTTAAATCACATATAGTGCTTTATTTTTCCAGACACACTTAGCTAAGATAATCTAAATGTACATTTAAACTTTTGCTATTTCTAGAGCCTCAATTAAATTATAACAAATTATAAAAAAGATTTTTTCCTATATTTTTCTTAAATATTTTTTGCTTGATTATCCTTTTCAATTGTAATAGTAATTCACTTTTCATAAGGGCTGTCCAGAAGTATTTAGCCAGCTGCTATGTTGCATTTAGCTAGCTGTAGCACAAACAATCTCCTTTCTCTAATTAAAACCCAATGCAGTATTATTATTATTGCTGAAGTTTGTTATGCCATAACAAGGCTAAAATTCTTCTTATATTTTTTGAAGTTTTAGTAATTAATTGCACATCACCTGCTATTTTATTTAATTATAGCAGCACTCTAAAGATACATTGATAATTTGATGCTAACTAACACATGATAGGACAAAACAATTTGAGTTCCTCAAGATATTTTTGGTTATAATATCAAAACTCCTTGATGGATGTCAAAGTACAATTCTATATACTATATTCCTGGGATAAAATACTGAGAAAACATCCTACATATAGAGAAAGATGAATAAATTATATAGAAAACAATTAAATGAAATATTCCACATAAAAAGTTATTAGTATCTTATCATATAAATCTTCTTTACTACATATTAGAATTTATTTTATGTACATATCAATCTGTATTGCAATATATTTCAATAGACTTTAACATACAGATCTGTACTATAATATTTTTCTAGTCTTCTTACCATTTCAGAGATTATTATATTGTATTTTCAAATGAAAATGAAAATGAAATTGCATTTACTGGGCTTTATTGATTAGTTAAAAAATGAAGCAGATGGCTACATGTAATCTATTCATCCATATGACGGACATTGCATGATTTTGCACACTGTGACACTGTCATAAAAAAGGTTAAACTTTCATTTTTCAATGAAAAAGGGGGAGATTAAATATGTAGCATCCTGACTTCACATGATTTTTATATGGTATCCATATGAAGTTATAAACAACAGATCATGTCTGTCACTGCTGAGTATGCTCTAGCAATCACAGATCTTACAATTTTGACTTTGCCATAATGCCAAAAAAGGGATTCAAGACACAAATATCTTCATTTTTGTAGACGTCCATTATCCAGTCAACATCAAATGACAACATACATTGTCTACATGTCATGACCCACCATAAAGCAGACTGACATTTTTCAGCCTTACATTTACTGTGAAACTATGGCACAGATGCTATAAAAAGGAAGATTTTTTTCTTTCACTTCTTTTATATATTTGTTTGTTTCATTTATTAATAGTTGTAAAAAAATGTGTCCAGTTTTTAAAATGTGGTGACCTGCCTTATGACCATTACAACTTAACAACTGTAATGGGCAGGTTCCATTATGGCCATATGTCATGGACTACCTGTATTTTCTCTAAGCAGTGAATTGAACTTCAGTTACATAATCAGAAAAATATGATTTCTTCCGTATCTGAACATTGCATTTATTCATTTATTCATTCATTCATTCATTCCTCACACTTCTATACTGCCCATCTCACTTAAGTGACTCTGAGCTACTTACAAGAAAAACACATCATCATCATTAAAAAAAACAAGAACCAAATTAAAAACAAAATTAAAGCATAGTATTACAATATTAAATGTTAAAAAGGTGAAGAGAACACCCTCACATCATCAACCATCCCCAGGGTTAGATAACACGCTTTGGTCCCAATGCCAATTGACAGAGCCAGTTCTTAACACCCTTTAGGAAAGCCAGAAGAGTGGGGTTCCCTATCACCTTTGGAAGTAAGCTTCTCCAAAAGACAGGGCAATGGCAGAGAAGGGTCATTTATAGCCCATGTCTACTGTGAAATTGAATTTTAGCAGAAGTATTGAAAATTGGTCTGAGATTTTTAAAGGAAAAAAGATTTATAAATAAGCAAATAATCTGGTTTTCATGATGTTTTTTATTGCAAAAGGCTGCTAGTTTCTCTACATCATCATGACTGTAATACTTTGTGTAAACTGATTGGTAACTCAACAGAAAATAGCATTTATTGTTGCTCTGTAGATTGTCAGGTATGACCCATGAAATGTGGTGGGAAACAAAAATTAAAGCAATTCTTAGAAGGAGAATTCTTTGCGA